CCCCCCCCCCCACACACACAACCAACCGTATTATCTCCATATGTTTCCATCTCATGGCTTGACCCTTGCCTTGAGGATTATCATTCGAGTTACACGAGTTCCCAATTTTAAGAGAATTCCCGCTAAGATAACAGATCCAGCAGCGGTGGGTGCTTCCCTTCGCATATCTTGCTGCGGTAGTTGCGGTTTATGTGTTTGTGTCTACTACTTACTCTTGCTTTGCATGCCACATCACACTTATTGTTATCCATCTGTTGATTGAACTTGATTCTGTTTCCATCTGCGGATTCGAACTCATGACCTGTTGATTCAACTGTATTGACACTTTTCAAAGTTATATCATTACATGTAGAAGTAGGTACTAGGTACCATTCAGCCACGTAGGCTGGGTAGTAGGTTCGTCTTTTGTCTTGCGCTCTTTTCCGATGGCCGCTTCCATTTTTTTATTGTTTGGTGCTGACTGTCCAACTTCCTTCTACAGTCAACGTCGATTGGCAATCAATGGATGACGTATGCGGCGATCGCGTGCACATACATCGGCAAATTTTTGATTTTTTAAAATTTTTGTTCCTATCTCTGCAGAGATGCGTACCATGTTGTGGAGACGGAGGAGTATTCCAATAAGTACATGAGGAGGTACTTGGATGTACTTGCAAAGTTTGAAAAGGTCAGTCAGGATATGTCATGTCTGCCCTGAGTGCCCTTTCAATTTCCCAAAGGCTAGTCTTCTTTAATTTAATTTAATAATTATTCATTTCAAAATCGAGCTCCGGAAACGGAAAAGAAAGAAGGGGAAACCAGAAGATTGGACAATGAGCCAGGGCCCAGGGCCATAAGAGTCATGATAAGACCCTTTTTTTTTTTCCTAAAGAAAAAAAAAGAAAAAAAAAGGGGAAAACTTCCGAAAAAGAGGCCACCGATTTGTCAATAACCCCCTTGCCTTTGCAGTTTCCTAAATTCCCTTTAAAAATTCAAACCTATCAAAAATTGGAACCTTGTTAAATTCCCCCCCCCCTCAAAAAAAAAAAGCAACCTTTTAAATTCCTCTTTTCTTTAATTAAAAAATATAAATTAAAAATGGAATTATACATACGTGACATATCTATGTGCACGAGGGACGCTGGGCCTGGGCCCGGGCCCGGGCCCAGTTCCCAGCAGGTACTTCTCCTCACGAATAAGACCGGAGCTGGCAATCAGCCTCCTGCAACAGCTGTGGGCTCTTATCGCCAACTGTTGCAGGTAGGCTCCAGTTGCATTAAAAAAGAAGTGGTAAGTATGTTCATGTCACCTTTGAGTATCGAATGGGCAAAAAAAACACGCATCGGCAAAGAAAACCGCGCGGAGTTCGAAAAGGTAACAGAAGTACCGCCGGCCGTGGTGTCAGACCGGGTGTCATATTCGCAGGGGTTGGCCGTGGTGTCGGAGGGGGAAACAAAAAAAAAGCCCAACGGGTACTTTTGGACCGAAATTGCTCATTTTGAGTTGGCACGTGGTTTCTTTGCCGGCGCGAGTTTTTTTTGCCTTTAGGGTTTCAAAACATGCCGCGTCCGCCGTTATTTCAAAATAATAATAAGAAGAAGAATCGGGGTTGCCGGCGTTCGGGACGGGCCGAACGCCCGGACCCAAACGCCCGAACGTACGGGACCCCTTTGGAAGGCGTTCGGCCGTTCGGGCCGAACGCGGACCAAAAAAAAAAACAGAAGTTTTCAAAAAATTCCGAAAAAAAAAAAATGTTATGGAGAAAAATAAACTAAACAACATTTGCCTAGGCACTTCATCCAAAATCCTTACCAAATTTGAAATAAAAATAAAATACGAAAAACAAAAACTAATAATAAAAATAACAAGAAATAAAAAAGAATTAAATTTAGTGAGTGCGCGAGCACGTTTTCGACACCGCCATCTTTGACGATTTTTCTTTTTTTTTGGGCATTGCTAAATGCCCTGAAAATTTACAGATGTGTACTTCACATAATACAAAAACCACTAAAAAAGTTTCAAAAAATAACAAAATTGTTTAGACCCTGGGGCCTGGACCCACTAGCAAAGTATTCTACAACGTGTGACACAGTTTTATGGTTTTTTGGAAAATACAAAGTGATTTTTTATTTGCATGAATGGATCGTTTTCTGATTTAAAATGAATTGAAATAGCACATAAAAGTATGAAGAACAGCTGTGAACCCGAATTCATGGGGTGGTACGATCTCCTTCACGTAAGTCTTCATAGTGATGTACCGTGGCAATAAAATGTGTCCACAAACACATTCACGAGGATGAACAAGTAACGGGTATTGGGATACATTCCTCGCCATGTATCTCATTATGCCTTTAGCAGGCCATCCGACAGACGCGGAAGCGTTCCTGTCAGGTCCACCACAATATTCGAATTTCACATTTCAAGTTCTATTTGCAAGGAACATGAGTATGGACGAAGCACAGAAATCCAGAATGCAAAATCACACTGAAGTCCAAGTATTCAAAGCCAAAGCAGATAGCACATGGAACCGAGTAACCATCCCATTGAGAATGATACAGAAGAATCGTGAGTCAATGTCCATGCCCAACAGGGCAACACCAACAGCATAACCCAAATGTAGCTCTCTCTTGTGAATGGCGCCAGGCGCCCTATCTACTCTACAGCCTATCCTACAACTACAGCAATGAACAGCAACCAGACAACTTGACTACCAGCGAGTGATGATGTCAACACCAATGTCGTATTCCACCATCACCAGGTACGTGTCATCTTCCCCACACTCT